GGGAAAGCAGCAGGGGGAGCAGGGGAAGGGGTGGGGAGGACCTGCCTTGAGCGGGGTGGGCAGCTGGGGGAGTTCTTAGCTGCTTTTGGGGCTTGAAAAAGACCCCAGAGGCTCCCAATGCCCAGTCCATCCCCCACCAGCTGGGAGGAGGGTGCAGCCACCCCTGCAGACAGGGTTGCAGCTCCCGCCCCACCTTTGCCAGGTCCTGGATCCGTCCCTGCCGGGACCAGCTGGCATAGCAGGAACCCCACCACCCTGTGCCCCACAGCACCCCGGGCTGCAAGAGCCTGGCCTGGGTAAGACCCCAGAGGCTCCCAATGCCCAGTCCATCCCCCACCAGCTGGGAGGAGGGTGCAGCCACCCCTGCAGACAGGGTTGCAGCTCCCGCCCCACCTTTGCCAGGTCCTGGATCCGTCCCTGCCGGGACCAGCTGGCATAGCAGGAACCCCACCACCCTGTGCCCCACAGCACCCCGGGCTGCAAGAGCCTGGCCTGGGTGCCCGCAGCACCCGCTGCTGGCAAAGTGGAGGGTCAACAAGCCAGGAGCTCCATGGCCCCTGGCAGTGCCCTCACCTGAGTGGCAGGGAGGGCGTCTTGTAGAGGATGGCGCCCAGCGTCCACTGCACCTCGCGGTCGTACACCAGCTGGGCCGTGCGCAGGCTCGGGTAGTCCAGGGGGAAGTGGAAGCCCTGGTGGAGGACCTGGTACATCCAGGCCGACTTGAAGCACTGGTACCTGCGGGGGCATGGGGTCGTCAGCCTGATGCTGGGCCCCGGTCCCAGTCAGAGCCCTGGGGCCCCCCGCACCACCCCGAGGCTCCTCCCAGGGGCCCTTACTTGACGCGGTGCTGGTCTGCATGGGACGAGTACAGCCCGTCTTGGAAGCGCTGGGTCAGCACCGCCCAGCTCTGGCTGCAGTAGTCCTGGGGAGATGCAGAGCAGAGAGCACTCTCAGCACAGGGCAATGTCCACCCCCGCCCCCATCCCAGCCCCCGCCTCGGCACTCACCTGGGCAGCGCGGGCAAAGGTGGGTGTATGGTAGCGGCCACCCAGGCGCAGCACATCCTCGGTGCAGTAGAAGAACTCAGAAAAGCCGTAGAACTCGCTGTTGCCGAAGTCAATGGGTGCCTGGTACATGCCGGCCAGGGAGGCCTGGCTGCTGTTGGTGCCTGGGTGGGCAAGCAGGGGGTGCAGCCGCTGGGTGCAGGCCTGCCAGGCCCCATGTCCTCGCAGGTGCAGCTGGCGCCCGCCCCTCTCCACCGTATCTGCCAGCCCCACGGGCAGACAGGGGTCCAGCATGGGCACGTCGGCGGTCAGCCCCGCCGGCTGGCCCTGCAGGCTGCAACGGGAGTGACAGTAGCTGAGCCGTCTGCCCCGGGTCACCCCCTGCACACAGGTGTGCTCTCCTAAGAGTACGTCCCGCCACGGGGTACACACGTGCAGCAAAGAGCAGGGCCCTGCCACACCGGGGCACCAGCTGTCACGGCACCAGACAGCTGGGATGAGGTTAGGGTGGACACTATGCCCACAGCCCTGGCACTGGAGTTAGTCCGTGGCACAGGGGGAGGGGAGCAGCCAGGCATAAGGTGTGTCTGGCCCCGGCTCCAAGGTCCCCTGGCCCTCTGGGACAGGAGCTGGAGCAGATGGAGAACGAATGGGCGCGCGCTACAAAGGTGAGTGTCCCACGGGGACGGCAGCGGGGAGGTAGGAGATCGCCCCAGGAAAGAGGGGCCTGGGGGGAGGGACGGGCACTACACAGGGCAAGTTGTCACCCGCGGGGAGCGCTCAGACATGGCAGCAGGGTAGAAGCCAGAGGCTGCGGCTGGGCCCAGGGCAGATGCCCTGAGCTCCCCCTGCCCCCGCTGCAGTGCGGTACCTGTGCTGGGCCTGGCTGTGGTTGAGCAGGGCATCCTCGTAGCGCTGCCGGGCAAAGTTGCCGCCGAATCCCAGGAAGGTGCTGACGTAGACGCGGTAGACGTGGGCGCTGTGCTGCACGTCGCAGCCCAGGTTGAACTCAGCCAGCAGGCTCTTGGCCGCCTCCTCCTGGGCCAGGCAGAGGGGTGAGCACCAGGACTGGGGGTGCTGGGTGGACACCCCCATCCCTGCCCCCCCGGCCACTACACACCTGCTGTGGCGAGGGGAAGGTGCTGGCGCCGGGCACCTCATAGGCAATCTGCAGCGAGGCCCCGCCCATGTCCAGGATCCCCACCGTCCGCTTCCGCACCACGGCCTCCGCCTGGGCCCCCACGGCCACCGTGACCACCGCGTCCCCCCCTGCAACGCATGGCTCCTCAACCACTGCCCCCTTGTCCCCTGCTGCCCTTGCCCTTCTCCAACCCCACTCCAGCCTGATAGGACGCCCCTCCTGCACCTGGGGACCCTTCCCTGCAGCCTGGGCTTGGCCAAAAGCCTAGGAGATGCTGGGGGCCCCGCAGAGGCTGCTCTTGGCGACTGCCCCAGTGCCGTGTCCCGGGTGCCAGCTCGACCCAGCAGGGCTCCAGCACTGCTCCCCCCCTCACCGTCCGGGTGATCAAACCGGCCCAGCACAAAGTTGATGCCGATCCAGGCGTAGACCCCTGAGGAGAAACCCAAACCCCGGTCAGGGTGCAGCCGCTCCCCACCCCCCCTCCCTGCCGTGGCCTTGGGACAGCTCTCCAGGCCTGGGCAGCTCTCAACGCAGACTCCCGCTCCTGGGGGCAGCTCACGCGACGTCCCCGCCTTGAATGTATGCTTTGCTGCTGCACCCCAACATCCAGGTGACCCCCCAGCTGGCGCCCAGGGCTGTGCTCACCCTCCTGCTTCCCAGAGATCACCTCCGCGTGTGTCTCGGAGAAGAGGAAGTCGAACTCCAGCGGCACATGTCTCACCAGGTCTTCCAGGATGGCTGCCTGCTGCCTGCGGGGGCCACAGGTAGTGCCCAGTGAGTCAGCGAGTGCCCGGCCCCCACGCAGCTCCCACCCCACTGTCCTGGGGCCAGGACTTGGTGCTTCACCTGCCCGTCCTGGAGAGAGCTCGGTGTCCCCCATGCCCAGGGACCCACAGCCCTACCCTCTGCATCCTGCATGTCCCTCCCCTGCCCCACCACCCCCACACATGCCCCCACTCCTTACTCTCTGCCTGTGTCCACAGGAGTCCCTGACCCCACTGCTGCCCAGGGGCCCTACGGTGTCTCCCCTCCCCTGAAAACACAAGATCCCCACCCCCCTGCCCTTGCCCCAACCCCCCTGCTCTGTCTCAGGCCCAGCTGGCTCCCTTCTGGGGCACAAGGGTTGCAGACAGTGCTGCCCTGGGTGCTGGGGGGAGCTGGGCAGTGCCTGGGGCACCCACCTCTCGGGCAGCAGCCTCATGCCGGCTGTGCACAGGATGTAGAGGGGCGTCTCCTTGTGCTTCTGGGCAGGCACATGGGCAGCGGCGAAGCGCAGCAGGGGGCGCATGTAGGACGTGGCTTGCTCCGGGGTTGCTGCCACCACGGAGATCCCTGTGGGAGTGGGGATGGGGATTAGCAGGAAACAACTTGCCCCCTGGAACCACAGCTGGGGGCACAGCCAGGTGCAGGACAGACCCCGGGGTGGGGGGTAGAGGGACCCCCAGGACCCGGCTGAAAGAGGGGAGAGCAAACGGCCAGTGTCGTGGTCCCATCCAGCCCAAGGGAGCAGAAGGAGCAAGAAGCCTCCCCAGGCAGCAGAGCACAAGCTGCTTCCCCGTCCCAAGCCAGCCCCTGCCCCAGGGCAGCCCGCACCTGGCTTGATCTTCTTGACGACAGGCTGGCTGCTGTGGTCCCGCATCTGCTTGATGTCCAGCAGGTCGTGGGGGTTCCCGTTGTGCGGGGGCCAGAAGTAGACGAAGACCCGCGAGCCACTGCTGCCGCAGTCAACGACGACCCCGTAGTTCAGCATCGGGTCCCTCGTGTCTGTCGCCTCCAGGTCTCCCACCTGCGCCAGGTACCTGCCGGGCGGACACGAGGCGTCGGAGGGGCGCAGCAGCCCTCGGGCAGAGGAGACGTGCCAGGGACGCTCCCGCAGCAGCTCTGCCAGGGCTGGTTCTCCACGGAGCAGCCGGGCTCCCCAGCCCATCCCGGGTCTGCGGGGTCAAGGAGCCCCCAGCATGTCGGGGACTCAACCTGGGCTGTTATCAGACCGGGCTCAACGGCCCCACAGACCCTTTGTCCTCCGGCCGCAGGCGCCCCACGCTCCCCGGGGACCGGCCCGTGCTCTCAGACGCGGGGGCCGGAGATCGATGGGGCGGATCGATGCCCCGGCCGGGCTGGTCCCCGCGGTGCCGCGTCAGCGCAACGTGAGCCACCCACGCCTGGGCAGAGCCGCGGCAGCAGCTGCTCGTCCCCATTAGTGAGAGGCCTAACGCGATTAGGACCCCTGGTCCCCCAGCCCCGCCAGGCCGCAGCCGCGAGGCACTAACAGCCCCCGGCTGCAGCTCAGCCTAGAGCGACCCCCGCTCGATTCCCACGGCCCCGCGGGGCTGCCTGGCCTGCCCCCCGCGCCCGG